ATTATCAGAGATAAATATATTTAAGTAATTTGCGCGCAAAAAATTTTTAAAACTGCTCGTATAGTATATAATAATTGCAATTTAGCATAATGTTATGAATAAAAAATACGCAGTTGCTTTCGTGTTAATAGCTAGTTTTCTAGACTAGACTATCTATTTTTCAAAGAATCAGACACAGACCGAAAACTAAATTTAATGACAAATGAATAAGAAAATATTCCGGATTTTCGAAAATTTTACCTGTTCTCTTACTCGTATTTGCCCAGTGTACCAAGTCAACAATATCATCTTCAGCACAAGCACACACGACCACCAAGCGTATATAGACCACCATAGCTCGTTTTTCATCTTACTTGCAGTTGCGTTTGTTAGCATTGTTTCTGTCGCGATCTTATTTACTTACTGTTCTCTTGACATACGTAAGAAAAGCTAGCGTGTTGGTATCTGTTCACTCTCTCGTCTGAATAACCGGTTAGGGTTTATTAGCAAATCAAATGAATAAGATGGCAATAGGTAATCCGATCCGAAGCAAACGAGCGGGAAGGTTTAAACGTAAGCATTTTCGTCACGCGAGACACGCGTTATTTAATTGAAATAAAGCACTTGTATAGATTATTAAAAATATGCTTTTCAGCTCTATCAGCTGCAACATTATATTGATAAAAATATATAATTTATTCTTTCTTAAATGGAATCAATGCATTATCACTGAAAAATAGCGAATAGTCACTGATGATTTCACAAGCAATTATAAATATAGTACTGCAAATCAGTGAAATCTCACTGAAAAAAATTAGTTTGTAGTAACGGTTGTTCCAATCAGAGATATTTTAAAATGCGTTTTTTATTACAATATTATATATGAAATAAATTTATAGCAATATACATACATATATATATTTTATTGAAGAAATATCTGAGTTTGACCAAGAGTTTTGTTCATTTTTTATAAATAAATTTTATAAATAGATCAATGAAATATGATTTTTAATGAAATCTTGTGTCACTGATTTAATAAGTGATATAATTTTACTGATTCAGTTTAAGAGAGTTCAATAAAAACGTACATAGCTTTTCGAGATTTCAAAGCTCCATCTTAAATAAAAACTCTGGTCGGTTATAAGATTTATCCTTTTAAAAAACAATCAGCTTCTTTCTTAGATACAATTTATCATAAGAAACAATGTATATATATAATTATGATAATAAGAATCATGATAATAAGGACAACTATAAGGGAAAGATTTTTTTAAATTACGCCAACTAAAACATCATGATTTTCCATAATAAAGAATGTTGTATCTCGTTAATTATGAGTATATTGCAAGTTTATTCTGGATAGCTTTTATAATAATATTTAATTTCGCGGAGAATAAATTACTAATTTATTAATTCACATATTTATCACGCTTTATTTGAATAAAATTTAAATAAAATTCGTAAAATTTTTATTTGCAAAGTCGATGCAGATTGCTTTGCATACAATATAAATATTTATTAATCTGTCAATATTTTTTGCTAATATGTTATATCGAACTCATTTAAATAAACTATATTAATAATGTTTAAGCATTTTCTCTCTCTATCTCTCTTTTTCTTTCATTTCTTCTTTCTTTCTTTTTTTGCAATTGTATAAATAATAAATGAGTGAATAATTATCCTGTGTTTCTTGTGAATTTCGTATAATTAAATCAGTTTGTTTGTAAATATTAATTTATTTCAACATACATTATATATTTTATCTTTAATATAATTTATGAAGAAGTTTAACGGAAACGATCGTTTAATTTATAAATGCACTTTTTCGAAACAAAGAATGATTTGTAATTTTATATATCGACTATAAACGCCATTGTGCGATATTACTTTTCTTTATGTTTGACATTCTCGATACCCAGATCAAGTCGTTTCCGAGGAAAAAATCTGTAGCAACGATATTCGTTTCCTTCCACCACTCCTCTTGAAACTTGACAGTGAGATTTCGGTTAACGGAATCGGCCATCTGCCGAAGTCCACCGGATAAATTAAAGAATATATCCAATGGGAATGGCGTCAGTTCCGCCATTACTGCCCACAATGGATTCTGACTATTCTTGCGTTTCTTTGATCCCAAGATCTCTTCGTCCAAGTACTCGAATAGACCTTCCACGGTTTGTTGATTGCCCCATACTTGTGTTAAGGGTGGCCACAGCCAATCGTAGTCTAAATTTTAAAAAAATATGTACAGATTATTAATTAAATATATAGGATTTTAGTTAATTAAATTTGTTAGAAGCACATTAACAGAAAAATCTTTATTTAAATTTGAATCTTTATTAAAAATTGTAGGCCACATTTTAATTTGAAACGTGGCGAAGATAATTATTTTGTTAAATCTTAAACAATTTTGTGAAGAATATATTCAACTAAGTTTTTATTTAAAAAATGGTCGCTAAAATTACTAAATATTTACTATATATTTTAAATATATCATAATTTTTAATATAATATATTGTATACTTCTATGTAATTTTTAATTTCATAATATAGTAAAAAAATAATCTCTATTATATATAAATATTGATCATATTAAGAGAATTCAATGCTTAATATATTAAAAGAGTTATTTAAAAAAATATTTACATGATTGTTTCCTTGTACATTTTTATACATTAAAAATGGCAAAAATCTTTACCATTTACTACATGCTTATCGCCATAACAAATAATTAATCTCTTCCCGCCGGTCCAGATGTCATTCAATGTTGGCCCCAGGCCTTCGACCCCTCTGTCTGGTTTCAGAATTAACCCTTCGAACTCTTGATGTAAAATAGCTATTAATTTTCGGTGTCTGTTTGGCCTACCTTCGAAGCCCACGGGAAATCTATTTATCAATTTCTGCATTAATTATTATTATCATACAGATTCCGAATATAATAATATATTTATCAATAAAATAACATTTTTATTAACATTTTCAACAGATAACATCGGATGGTATGCAAAAATAATTTTAAAGAATGTGAAAGCTATAATTTGAACAAGGGCGATAATTCAGTTAACATTATATATTTAATAATTTTTGCCAATTTCTTGTAATATAATTCCTTGAATGGTTATTCACTCAAACTTTACAAGGAATAACGCGAATTCCATTTAGAATAAACGCATGCTTCCGTGAATTTAAAAGATACAATGCAATATTCTACACAACTGAGGCAATCTCGTGTACAATTGCGATTTACCTATGAAAATCCATAATAACAACCTCACCCCTCGCCGCGTCCAAAAAATTTCTCACGTCCTTTATGATCTCCGAAAGAGGTGTAATGCGAATGACGTCGTGATTGATCCAAAATCTATTTACATGGTTGCCCTCTTCATCGAGTGCGGTGCCGTTCGGTATCGATGGGTAATATCCAACTCTGATATCCAAATATCTTATGCCGTGCACCAATTGCGTCCAAACGTCGCGATCTTGCGTCAGCAAGTATCGTTGAAAGGCATCCCGGCGCGTCAGATCGCCGTGCTTATAACAGCCGGAATTATGTGTTCCGGGTATCATTAGGCTGCCGATAGGAAGCATACCGATTTCTCTCCTTTGTTAACATGAAGAAACATTTTGTCGATATTAATAACAGACAATACTCACTAAAGAAACTCGTGTATAATTATTAGTGATTGTTAAATTAGTATAATAATGTAAAATAATTACAAACGTATGTTAACATTCATGTTACTAATTAATATTCATGTCTAATATTAGAGATTGATATTTATCAATCAATTCTTCAACTTTTTACATATTATTTCCTGCGCTTTATTAATTCTTCTTGTTATTTATAAAGTATTTATTAGCTCGTTTGAAAAGATAAATTGCTTTGGAAACTTAAGAGCGATAAAGTCGGCGTGCACATAATATGCTTTTGTTAGAGATATATAAAAGAATTACCTCAAATCATACATCCAAGTCGGCCAAATTTGTAAACAGGTCATAGAGAGCATGTGACCATCTTTGTAAAGGATTGCATAATAATCGAGACAATGTGATCCTGGAAGAGTTGCCCCATCCTTTGTATCCCATCCTCCTGGTAACGGTGGTCGACCGACTGTAATATTTGTCCTGTAATATCCTCGCGGGCGTTGCAAGGAAGTCAAGATCAATTCAGGCTTTATCATTTTATCTGGAATAAGTAAATTGGATCTACAATTTTTTCTTTATCCTAAATTCGATAAATTTATCGTGAGGAAATATGATAAAACATTGATGCGTTCGATTTCATGACGATTCATTCTGTAAGATAAATCGGATTGAAAACGATTCAAAACTATCGAGGGATTCATTTCGAGCGGATCAGTGTTTTCAAATTGAATGCGATAGGCGGAAGAGAGACTTAGCGAACAAGTTTTAAACGACGAACTCAAAGCGCTTCAACGCGCATAAGCTGGCGATTTGTATTAAGCAATCAGTAAAAGATGACGGCAAGATAAACTTATAGATTTCAAACTTTGTTAACAGTACTTCTAAAAGAAACAAAGTAATGATTTATTTGCAGCAATTAAAAACTATTGCACGCTGTGTATCGTGCGTTACGTTTTCATATTTTGTAATAAATTGTGATAATAAATATTGTATTTTGGGGATTTACAGAGTTAAAATACAATAAGAGAGTTTAAATACAATAAGAGATACGTGTCAGTTTCGATTTTGTTCAAACGTCATCATTTAGCAACGGAATACGCAAGAGAGGCAAACAAAATTTATTACTATGTGCTGCTAACGGGTCAGCAGTGAACACCTTGATCTGGGTATCTGAATATCTTGTGCCCGCTAGACAATCAAATTCCCAATTTATTTCTAATTCCGCATCGACCACTTTGTCGCAAGCAGCAATTGGTCTCCACAAAGAGGAAACTGTGACCCACACCTTTCCACATTGTCCTGCCAATGCTAAAGCAAAATAAAAAAGATGATTTGAGAGATACAATGTAATATTGCTCATCATAACTTGATGTTAAATAATATATTTAAAAAAATATTAGATATAAAAATATTCACATAGAAAGTTTTTAGCAAAAAAAAAAAAAAAGCAAATGTAGACATACAAATATTAATAACAAGTTTGATATCTTTATATTTTTTACATTTTTTATATTTTTTGTAATATTTAAAACAAAATTAGTATATTTATCTCGATTATAAAAAAATATGACCGTAAAAAAATATTTGCTTTTTATTTATATATTTATAATGTTGTATAATTTCGATGATATATATGTGTAGACTCTCTTTCTCTTTTCTCTCTCTCTCTCTCTCTCTCTCTCTTTCTCTCTCTCTCTCTTCTTCAACGTATTAAAAATATGATATCTGTTTAAAATGTACATCATTTTGCAATTTTAGTAAAATAATGCAAAGCTAAAAAAATCATGTCATATAAGCAAGATAATTAATTTACTCTCACCAGTGTCGCAGAAGACATGGAGAAGCAACAGAACAATTCCTTTCTGCATAATTGAAACGATGAGATTTCGATCGAAATTATCTTTCTAACGCTTTCAATATTCCGATATCAGCAATCGTCGTGCACTCGTGTTTTAATCAGACAGTTTCTGATCTGTTCGAGCATAACGATTGATACGAGAGCCCTTACAATTTTTGAAATTCGTAACTTATTCACGCACCAGCGTGTCGTATAAATCTTTGATAAATAATTTTTTATTTTTGGAAAATTAAAAATACTTTCTGTTCAAAATACATCAAGAAAAAAGGGCAGAATATAGAAAAGTTAAAAAATATAGAAAAATGTTTTCCTATCTCTATCTTTCTCTCTTTCGATTTTCAATTTTATATTTTTAAATCGTTGAAGTTAAGCAAGGGTGGAACTCGCCATCAAATTTATCCACGTCATTGATAATAGTACCGTGTTCCGTAAATTCATTCCAATCTCTCCGCGAATGAAAAATTATCCGTGTGCAACGGAATGTGCGGTTTAAGAAATACAATTCTCCTCCACCACCGCATTCGTTGATGATAACGATCGATTTTTTCAATGCCTCCGATCACGTCTCACTTTTGCCACGCATAGAAGGATCTCTCGATCGGATCGAACATTATCGTCGCATTGGGAAATGCCGAAACGCGCGAAATGGAAATCGTACGAAAAACGAATTCAGGTGTCAACAGACGCGATGGACAACCCAGTGACTGAACGATGGACAGTCGAACGAACTACCGGTAGCCGGAGTAGTTTAATACAGAGCCCGCTTATGGGACATTCGAGTACATTGCGCTTCCATCATTCCGTCACTTCCTCGGACACATTAATTGGAGGGACCAGAGTTCGCTCGTTTTCCTTCTCTCTTCCCTCACGTCCGCCTCTCCATCACATTGATTATCAGCTACATGCATATACTCGGGGTCAGACCCGGTCTGATCTGTCGACATTAAATACCATTTCCTGCATACGCCCTCGTAAAATATATAGTTTCGAGGGAGAGCCGTCGATGGATGCAAGCTCATCCGACCGATCGATGGGGGTTGGGAGAACGGATTCAGTTTCTACATTGAATTATCGCCCTCGTGCATCGGGCGCAGGGGACATCGCGTGTCAGGAGGGAACGCGTCGTGAGAACAAACAGGCTAATCGTTACGTTACAGGTATAGAGGCCAAACGTGTATAGAATGCGATTTATCGTCCGACATTTTAGGATATTTTATGGTGCGTAAAGGTACATTTGGTTGGATCGATCACGAGTATGTTACAGATCGCATCTGTCTGTGGGTTTCGCGTTGCAATAGACATATACAATATTGTGTAATGTTGCTTGTGGAACTTATTGTGACTTTTCATTGAAATGTCTCGATAATAAAAAAATTCTCCTTTATGAGCTCTCCGTTACATTTATAAAAATAATTAAAAATGTATATCTTTATTTAAATAATGCAATAGACATGAAATATAATATGTGGATTTTATTAAAAGTTATTGATTTGTACATAAGGTAAAAATATTAATAAATAATACGAATGTGAATGATTAATCATCAATTCAATACAACAGATATACAATTTATTTACAGAATGCCATGCTTCTTTAAAAAATAATATTACATATTTTATGATATATGCAAATAATAGTTGAAATATAGAAATATCAGTTACATTTTGATCGCATTTGCGATCGCGCAAATGAAGCGCGTGGTCATAATTTAAAAAGAACGAGAGAGAGGGAGAGAGAGAATAAATTAAATCGCAAAATATAATTTTGGATATCAATATCGATGTTATTCGATTTCGAATATCAATATTGATGTCACCAATGAAAAGTATTGTAACTGCATTTTTGGACATTTTCAATTATGTTCCAAAGCTATTTTATGAGTTCTATATATCATAAAAAGAGTATTGTGACTCTAATCCATATACGTTCCATATTAAGTTAATATTTTATTTTAATTTATAACTAAAATTTTAAACAAAATACTTTCGAAAAGGGAATTATTGTATAAATAATTCTCCTGAAGAATTATAATTTAATAACTACTATACTTTCCATTAATACTCTGTCAATGTGTTACATATATATATATATATATATTGTCATGATATGATGTAACTATTACGTGATATGTATGTATTATGAAGCATTTCTCCCCTATCGGCCCGCAACTCGGGCATCTACTCAAATTCTAATGTCTACATGTCATTGTTTATTATATCGTTAATGATTATTACGTGTATATGTGAAACTTTCAAATGAATAAAAATGACATAAGCAAACTCTTATTCGTTATCATCTGTATCTTTTCGTCGTTTTATAACAAAATAATTATTTGACAGGTTAACTGCTAGTCGTTATAAATTTAATAATTTAATTTAATTGCGATATTGTTATAAATTTAATACTCGAAGAATCGACATTTCCTAATAATAAAATTGAGAAGATGTGATTGAAGAAGAATATCAACGCATTATGATCAACGCATTAACTAACTGTTACCTGATCAAATTAAACAACGATGCTTTTTCTTCGATAATATATATTATATAATAAACAAAAAAGCCTTATTTATTAAACAATAATATATCTATCTTAAGAAAAGTTCTCCGCTTTTCGTTATTTTCCGAAATTCAAATACTATGTATCCTGCATGATATTAGCCAATGAATTTGTCCAAAAATCTCGATTCGTTCCAAACTTAATTAAATTTGGCTAACATCCCGAACTCACGTATATAATATACGCACACGATGAAAAATTATAGCAATCGCGGACTACGCTACATTAAATAAATAACACATTATCTGTTATTTACATAAGACATACATAGGTACAATATACATATTTTACGCGCGTTAACTTACAGTAACTGTTTTTATCATGATGTTCTAATTGTAAGTTGACAATTATAGTACATGAAGGACGTTAATACAATTTGATTCGTTGAGGTAGATAATTTAATCAGTCTATGAAGCTACTTTGTCGGTCGTTTAACCGTTGTTGTTTGCTGGCAAATTTCCGTGCCGACGTTACATAAGAAAATCAGTCCTGTTTGCCATTGAAAGATCCTTCGCGTACAGTCTTTCGTGCGTGTAATTTAAACTGGATCTCAAGTGGTACGCAAATTAGATCTGTAACTGATTTAGCGGCAAACAAAAATATATCGAGATACACTTTAAGAAAAGGACATTTTTTAACAAAAAATTATGAGAGAACGATCAAAATGAGAAGTATTTGAACAAATACAAGATTGAAAGAGTTCTTTTAAAACGGCATTCTTGCCCGATTTCAGCGATAAACTGTACGCCATAAATTAATTTATAGAACATAGTTACGTGCTTGGTTATTTTTTGCCTATAACTATAATAAATTAAAATATTCGTGTAATCGTAGAGTTACAAAGAAATATACACTTTCTACACGTCAGAACTCTTGTCTTTCCTTGTCCGTCGACGATAAGACCGATCAGAATCTCTATATTTCGGCTTTCTTGTCTTTTCTGTAACACAAGTTCTGGAAACGCACCATCAAAGATTCTTCTGTAAAATTATATATGTACATTCATTTTGGTTGTACGCGTGACGTATCTTTAATTCAGGTGTGCCGATATCGCCCCTTAAATGCTGTTTGTCACACAAAAAAAAATTATATATTTAATCTGTTTCTGAACACGGGTTTAATATTCATCGGCGATGAAATGACAGTCTCCATTTTAAGTCTATGATATGCAAAGATATTCAACATAAAGATATGCAAGATTGTCTCAAAAGAAACATCGTATTTTTTCGAGCTTTGTCTAAATATATATCTGATAAATATAAACAAATCCATTATTATTTATTAATAAAACTGTAATGCAAATATTTGCATTTTAATTTATTCATTCTCAATTTATCGTTATATTAGAAGAAAGATAGGGCAAGAATTATTTTATTTTTACATATCTATACGTCTAATTTTTTTCACAGATATTTACTGCTTTTAACTCCGGAATTATTAACAGTGATATCTCCTCTCGAATTTAAGTACTGTAACATTGATGCCCCTTGACGAGACCGTAGATACGAATCATTCCACGTCATGAAACATAATGTGTACAACATTACGGATAGTACGTAAATATTGAACTCTGACTTTTCGGATATGCCAACAGAGATAAAGCAAGAGCAGGAGCATCCTACATAGTCGTTATGACAGAATGCTTTTCGCTAGTTTGCACGTTGTGTCAGAAGATTCACCAACTTCTCTTGGTCCATACTAATCAACGTATGTATATCAATACCGAGAGCGTTCGCGACACTTTTCATGTCCAGACCGAAGCTCTTGAGCAATTCGATAAGATCCATTTCCTCGCCCGTAAAGGGATTATGTAACTTGGGACAGCTATGGTTACATTGCGGCCAAGTACAGCGCTCGATCATGCGGAAATGGCAGTCCTCGACGCACTTCCGTTTGTTTGACGGTATTACCGATCGCTGCGGTCTGGTGCCGTTAAATATGACCGTATGGTTGTTGCCATTAATTTGTTTGCGACGACCTACGAGAAGATTTGCATGAAAAAAATGTTTGTTAATGCAAATCGTGTAAAAAATTAATCTTTTTTTTTTTGGGATAGGGGGATTAACAAGAAATTTTGAGATTTTAATTTCATCACGGATAAAATGCAAATGGATTTTAAATTAATGTGTTTTTATAAAATTGTATGGAACAGCGTTAAACTATTCAAAGAATGTCGACTGTTATTGTATGAGATTGAAAACATGTTTGCGCACTGCTAAACCGTACCAGTGCCTTTTCTTCGCTCGTGCTTTTCTTTCTTCTTTAGCCTCTCCTCTTTAGCCCTCTTTCTCTCCTTCCTATCTCTTCTGCCTTTGTGTTTTCTTCTTCGTCTCTTCTTATTCTCCTGCTCTTGAATCGAGCCGGATGCCGGTCTTCTCTTCAGCGTTTTGCCAACGACAGACAATCGAGCTTTTTGCGTTTCCGTAGAAGATCCAACTTTGCTTTTTCCACCTTCGATCGAAGTACCATTTCCCTTTCTGA